ATATATATATATATATATATATATACATATATATATATATATATATACATATATATATATATATATATATATATATATATATATACATATGTATATGTATATTTGACATTCAAGTGAAACCTATGTCTTGCAGATTTTGCGAAGGATAATTTACCCATGGCCTTTGGTTGCAGCATCTCTACAATGCATGTATATGAGGGCATTGTGTTTTGGAGGTGACAGATATTAATGATGGATGGATTATCATTTGCATAGCTTCTTTCGCTTTGACAAACAAATCAGAAGACTTGATTATGAGTTCTAAAATTGTGTTGCAGGAATGCGAAAAACATCATTGACACATTGATCCAAATGCAAGTTGCAGAGGTGAGTTCTATAACACATTCTTTCAGCATCATAAAAGTCACCAAAGAACATTAATATTGATTAACATCATCTGCTTTTTGTTTTTGTTTTTGTTTTTGTTTTTTTTTAACTTTGTCAGAGGTTAGAGAAGATTCTTCTGCCCATCATTGATAAGCTCGTACCTGAGGGTGTCTTTGAAGGGAAGGAAAGGGTTGCCCTAATGTATTCCTTGCTTAGTCTACTAATCATGGTTGTTTCTGTTATCATCCTAAAGAACACAATGGTGTAGTAACATGTCACTTGCTGCGTATACTAAAACCAAACGATGAAATTGTTTCTCGACTCCTCTTGTCCATAAAGAAGATGAGAACTCATGAAAGCGTGTTCAGCAGGAGTGCATCTCTTTCAAGATTACACTGAACATGGGCAACGATGACAACGTGATCTTCCAGCACTTAATCTCGCAGAATGTTGTTTGATTTTAAATGCTAAATTAGATGGAAATCTCCAACCAGAATCCCAAAAGCAGGGAAAAGGTAAACTTTGCAGCAGGTTAATGCTAGATGGTACTTGAGCAAAGTTCATTGTCAGGCCGACAGAACTTGTTTACCTACGTATAATTCAAATGTTAGGTTGAAGCCATCTGTAACGGTAGCAACTGAAATATCGATTAAAATAAGCAGTAAAACAAGAACATAATCTTGACACAATACAAGAGATGCAGATGAAGAACAGAGAACATAAAGAAGCAGCAGATGTACCCAGCAAGGCAAAGACCACAGAGCAATGTAGTAGGCATGACCTCGAAGTTTTACCTAATTATTGTGACCTCCAAGTTTGAAAGATGAAACACGGCCAGGATCAACGTTTCAACCTGTAAGGCCACAAAGACTTACCAAATCAAAGTTTAATCCCTATGCATTTGGATGATCATTAAGGTGTTATGATGTGCAGTTTGTGTGCTACTTATCACTGGTTTAGACACGGATACTACATCGGGATTGTAAATTGACTTGACATCTTTGATATTGCATCACGTAAGAATTATCTACCGTACCGAGTCCTCAGAAGTATTAATCGTTTCACATGCATGTCGCGATGATCATAAATGGCATTGATCAGAAGTGCAGCAATAAGTCCTTTCATGTCGAATTATCATCATCGAAGTGTTCAGCTGTTTCATTATTATAAATTATCCAGTGTATTTTGTTTTTGTCTAATAATACATTGCAAGAGTTATAATCTGGCCATAGTATGTATGTATGACAGCTCAAAGTAATGAATGACCCAGATATATTATTTAGGCATTTTTTTTGGTTAAAAAAGAAAATATATTACTAAGAGTACAAAAGACGTTCGAAGCAATTGATTAAAAAGGCCAATCCCCTCGTCATTCGTTCGTTAACCGAATAATAACTTTGTTGTCTTATTATGAGGTTGAATCCTTACATGAGATTTTGTTGAAAGCAATTAATCATATTATAGATTATAATGGATTTGAGAGAAGTATGTAGTTGACGCAAGCTCGATATTGATGGCTCTAGCCATCGTGAGCAGGATGGTGGTATAGGTGATAAGGGGTTTGTTGTTGTTTTTTTGTAGGATACAGAAGTGCTATTGACAGATCTATCTTGCAATAATAACAAAGCTATCGCAATTAGAGAAGGGCTTTTGGGAACAAGGAATAAAGGCATACAAAGAATCCACCTTGAATCGATGCAAAAAAAAAAGTCCAGTCACAATATTGAATACCAACACAACTCCTCCGACAACGATCACTAACGTACTTAGCACGATCACTAACGACGAAGTTGGGTTCAGAAGGCCTTAGCACGGGACAAGAGGACTCAAAGGTGGGTACTCTTGAAGAATATGTCACAGTGTTGCCATTCAAGTTACCATGAAGGAAGCGGTGCGCAGCGGAGATTGTGCTGGTAGGGGCAGAGGCCCAGGATCCAGACAATGGTGCATGAATTACAGTGAAGTCGGTGGACTTCGGGAGCTACTAGGCGACGGACTGTCCTAGAGCGGTGGTTCATCTATGTGTGACCCAAGAGTGGGTGGAAGAAGATCGATTGCCAAAGGAGCGAACAAAATCGAAGGTGGAGGAGACCCTACGATGTATTGGCAAAGACCACACATGGAGGGTTCACAATTCGAGTTTATTCCATAAAGATCAGAATGCAATGGAGATGTCACCAGGAGGCGACATGGAGCAGCGGATCGTGGTGGAACAGTTCGTGGCAATGCGATACACACGACATAGTCCCGGGAGGGACTAGATCATATGGAGGTATGATCGGGAGCTACTGGAAGCTCCACTTCGGTGAACAACACGATGGTAAGAAGGGCTATGGATTCAAGGAGTGAAGGTCATGGTACCGTAGAGGCGGGTCTTCCGTGCGTGCATCGAATTTTGCTTCAGATGAAAGCCTTGGTCATCAGCATATGGGGGCTGTGTTCCACCAAGGGAAAAAGTTCGAATGCAAGTACCAGTGAGTCTCATGGGAGGGGCTTGATCATGCAGAGGTATGATCGAAGCAGCTGGAGGGTTGGACTACTCCAGAAATCATATTCGCTTAAGGGAGCCCGGCAAGTCAGAGGACAAGGTCGAGTAAGCGAACGTTGCTACCAAGGAAGCTAAGGAGAACAGAATCGGTGCAAACCCTACAACGTGATGGCAGAGGCCATGTATGGGAGTTGCAGTCTGTCTTTCCATCGACCAAACAGACTGCTTGGAGAACACAGAGGTGTTGAAGCAAGGGGTCGAAAGGGGTGAGGAAGCGACGACGAGTCCAGAGGGACTTAGCAACCCAAAATCAAGCATCAGTTAGAATGGAGGTGGACTCAGAGGAGTGCCACAGAGACATATCTACTGATCATGAAGAAAAGGGATGCAGATGCGAGGCGACGGATAGTAGGGCCATGGGCATGGCAGCGCCATGGTACCGTAGAGGCGGGACTTCCATGAAAGTCATTGATCCCTTGCTCTCATGGAGGGAGAGCGCTTGGTCGTGAAAGGGGTCGAGGAGGTGGAGAATGCAGAGGCAATCTCCAAGTACCGAGACAAGGCTGAAGGGCAGAGGCCGAAGAACTTCGTAAGACTGGTGTCAATGTGCTTCTCATCAAGATAGCCGAAAGTGAAGGACTTCGGGTCATGCAAGAGTGCATAACCAAGGAATGAAGCAGGCAGTACGCGGTGTTGTACCTTTGCTACTCAGTGGAGTAGGCGACAGGGTTGATGGAGAAGACGGTACAATCCCAGAGGTGACTAAACCTATGAGAGAATTACTCCAAGTTGGGGTGAAAACTTCCTACATTCCAGAAGTTCGATGGCATTGAGAAGGTGAATCACAGTAACTAACTCAACGCAAGGAGTGCAAACACTTCAAGTGCTTCAGAAGTGTGAGCAAAGAGTAGGCGAAGGCTAGTAACCAGCTCGATGCATGAAGTACAACCTCGAGGAGGCGGGCGAAGTCAAGTAACCTTTGCCTTCTCAACTCTTAAGAGAATGGGCGAAACCGAGTACCCCAATTCTCTTATCTATCCAGCAGAGGAGCTCGGCACCAGTTCAAAGACCCTTCGAAGATAATGGAAGATAATAGTTGTCAAATCCTCACCAACGGTGATCAGTGCTACTGAGAGTAGATTGTCCACTTCATTTCCCAACGAAATGCCATCGAACTTCTGGAATGCAGGAAGTTTTCACCCCAACTTGGAGTAATTCTCTCATAGGTTTGGTCGCCTCTGGGATTGTACTGTCTTCTCCATCAACCCTGTCACCTACTCCACTGAGTAGCAAAGGTACAGCACCGCGTACTGCCTGCTTCGTTCCTTGGTTATGCACTCTTGCATGACCCGAAGTCCTTCACTTTCGGCTATCTTGATGAGAAGCACATTGACACCGGTCTTACGAAGTTCTTCGGCCTCTGCCCTTCAGCCTTGTCTCGGTACTTGGAGATTGCCTCTGCATTCTCCACCTCCTCGGCCCCTTTCACAACCAAACGCTCTCCCTCCATGAGAGCAAGGGATCAATGACTTTCACGGAAGTCCCGCCTCTGTGGTACCATGGCGTTGCTATGCCCATGGCCCTACCATCCGTCACCTCGCATCTGCATCCCTTTTCTTCATGATCAGTAGATATGTCTCTGTGGCACTCCTCTGAGTCCACCTCCATTCTAACTGATGCTTGATTTTGGGTAGCTAAGTCCCTCTAGACTCGTCGTCACTTCCTCACCCCTTTCGACCCCCTACTTCAACACCTCTGTGTTCTCCAAGCAGTCCGTTTGGTCGATGGAAAGACAGACTGCAACTCCCATACATGGCCTCTGCTATCACGTTGTAGGGTTTGCACCGATTCTGTTCTCCTTAGCTTCCTTGGTAGCAACGTTCACTTACTCGACCTTGTCCTCTAACTTGCCGGGCTCCCTTAAGCGAATATGATTTCTGGAGCAGTCCAACCCTCCAGCTGCTTCGATCATACCTCTGCATGATCAAGTCCCTCCCATGGGACTCACTGGTACTTGCATTCGAACTTTTTCCCTTGGTGGAACACAGCCCCCATATGCTGATGACCAAGGCTTTCATCCGAAGCAAAATTCGATGCACGCACAGAAGACCCGCCTCTGCGGTACCATGGCCTTCACTCCTTGAATCCATAGCCCTTCTTGCCGTCGTGTTGTTCACCGAAGTGGAGCTTCCAGTAGCTCCCGATCATACCTCCATATGATCTAGTCCCTCCCGGGACTATGTCATGTGTATCGCATTGCCACGAACTGTTCCACCACGATCCGCTGCACCATGTCGCCTTCTGGTGACATCTCCATTGCATTCTGATCCTTTTAGAATAAACTCGAATTGTGAACCCTCTATGTGTGGTCTCTGCCAATACATCGTAGGGTCTCTTCCACCTTCGATTTTGTTCGCTCCTTTGGCAATCGACCTTCATCCACCCACTCTTGGGTCACACCTAGATGAAGCACCGCTCTAGGACAGTCCGTCGCCTAGTAGCTCCCGAAGTCCACCGACTTCACTGTAATTCGTGCACCATTGTCTGGATCCTGGGCCTCTGCCCCTACCAGCACAATCTCCGATGCGCACCGCTTCCTTCATGGCAACTTGAATGGCAACACTGTGGCATATTCTTCAAGAGTACCCACCTCTGAGTCCTCTTGCCCCGTGCTAAGGCCTTCTGAACCCAACTTCGCCTCCGTAAATTGAGTCGCCTTAGTTCCTCAATCAAATGCTCCTCTGAGATAAGGTGCATGTGCCCAGAAGCTCCCTTCGTCTTTGACACCATGCAAGATGAGTCCACTCCAACATAATGAATAGCCCATGGAACAACATGATCCTGCTCTTGCCTCTGCAAGAGTTCATGTCCTTGACCTCTGTCTAAGGAAAGCACTATGCCTCTGCTCCACGTTCCAACTTCTATGCTGGCTCCCTTCATGTGGCTTAAGTACTTCGCCAAGTTACACCCAAGTTGCTCCACTCCTCGTTTTCACATTGAGTCGATGCTGGCCCTCGTGCCCACCATTCCACGGGTCAGCCCTCCCTTGAGTCCGATCTCCACATCAACTCCAAGTGTGCTTTCATTTGAGTTGCTTTGGGTCGCTCCCCCACTTGATCTCGCAATGCATCCACCAATGCATTCTCTCAAGCGAGATCATGCGATGACTCCTCGCCGCTTGCTCAGTCCATCGAGCTTCGTGGAGTTGTTGTTTGTTGAGGTACTCCTCCTCAACATGTGAGGTCCGTCTCACATGATTCTCCCTCTGGAGAGCCGAGACTTCTCCCTCCAGGATAACTGTCCCGTTGGAGCAACATCTCTCTTCGTTTCGGAGACCACCATCCCCTTGGACTACTCCGATCTGCTGAACAAACTGTGCATTGTTTTGCCTCCCGCAAACGCACTTGCTAGATTGTGACTCCACGCTAATACAGCCCCCGCTGCACCACTCAAGGCCTAGCAACATGTTGAACTCGTTGCACACTCCAGCCTCCTACGAACGTATCCTTCACATGCCGAAGAGAAAGTTCCAATGCTCCATGGCGCCGAGTTTCGGTCGCCTTGGGATGGCCCGAACATTCCATTGTCCGCATACAAGCCCATGCATGAATACCGAATTCTTTGAGTTAGTAATTCCCCTCACCTCTGTGAGCTTTGCACAACTCTTTCGATCGCTGAGCAACTCATTCCACCTTGCATGGTCTCATTCTTTACCAAGCGCCTCGCTTGCCTTAAGCACCATCAAGTATGGTTGTCAACGTTGAGCTGTAGCTCAAACTCAGCCATCCCAACCTTTGTGTGCTCCAAATTCTTCCAAGCTTGCCTGTTCTCGTGGTGCCTCTTGCGCGAAGGGTTAGCCATTCCTCTGAATGCCAATGTCAGATGCCCGCTCCTCCAAGCGGCTCCTTTTCCCTATATCTCCATGCTCGTTTTTCTCCCAAACGGTCGCGCGTGTGCTGACTGCCCTCAACGCAGTCCCACTAGGTCCCACACGTTTGTATGCTAAGTGTTTCTATGAGTGCTTGTCCCGCTCTGATACCATCTGTCACGGACTTAGCTGGTTTTGCCTAAGTCGTGCGGCACCCTTGCGTGTCCGTCCGCAAAGGTCAGCCTCCCCGAAGCCTCCCATTATCCCTTAGGACCAATAAAAGAGAGAACGAGCTAGAGAGAACGCCTCAATCGGGATCCACAAGCAAACATCTCCGAAAACACTTCATAGACAATGCAAATTACAAACAAACTTTACAAGCTCTGAACAGTGGCACAACAAAGGGTAAAATGATCCATTACAGACCGAGAATCTCTCGCGCGTGTCCACATGACACAACCTTTATTTACAAGCCTAAAGAGGCCACCAACCCAACTAAAATGGGGTTATTAAGCCTTCGGCCGCCCCTCTACATATTGTACAAGGCATGAACATGCCAAAAGACACGGACATACATAAGCATTACATCAAACATCTTGTTTAGAAGTTTGTCCGTGACATTCTCCCCCACTTAATCCTTCGACGTCCTCATTGAAGCCTTTGTCGACATTGCAACTCCTCGCCTTTGCTGATTCTTCAATCTTCTGCTCCAACTACAATGTGCCTCTTGGCTCCTAGCTGCTCTCCGCTGTTGTTTTTGAA